TTGTATTTGAATTATATTTTCAAGGAATGTCATATGCTAATTGCATACCGGGAATTGTTAGTAATTAGTGTAAGGTCTTTTTCCTTTTTTCTGGTACGGAAGTGTTTAGTATTGTTTTGGTTACGGTCGAGGTCGGTTCCGGGGCATTACTCGACGATCTGCGGTCACGGTTCAACAGGCGGTTATTCACCAAAGTCAGGATTCAGTGAGGTCCAGTCTTTGGGCTATGGTTAGCTTTTGGAAGCGTCAAGAGAAGCAGTCTATCTAGGGATGTCAAAAACCCCCGCGGGACCCCGTTCCCGTGGGACCCCGATACCGTACGGGATTAATTTTTTAAAAAATTCGGGAGCGGGAGCGAGGGCGGGGGCGATATTAACTCCCGTTTATTTCTGGGACCGGGGGCGGGAGTGAGTATTTTCGTCCCGTACTCCCGCGGGGGCCCCGTTTATATTTATATAAAAAATATATATATGTTTATAACTTTAGTGATGTTTTATGTTTGATCAATTCTTGATTTATCAAGGGCTTACATGTTTGTTTATATACAAAAGTTATTAAAAATAGTATTTTTAGCCTAAAAAAAAGCAAATTTTTAGCAAAAAAAATCCATTTTTAAGCCTATAAATCGGGAGTACCGGGGAACGGGGGCGGGACCGGGGGCGATGGAGGTAACCGGGGGCGGGACCGGGGGCGATGGAGGTAACCGGGGGCGGGACCGGGGGCTGTGTAAGCCGGGGATCCGGGGGCGGGACCGGGAGCGGGGGCAACAAGGGATTTCGGGAGCGGGGGTGGGGGCAACCATTTCGCTCCCGTTTGGTCCCGTTGACATCCCTAAGTCTATCACGGAAGAAGTTGCCCTGAGCATCGGTCAATTGGGCTTTAAGGTTGAGTGGGACATCAGGATAAGCATTAGGGTCATCGGTACTAAGAATTCAGAGAGCGTTCATCTAGCCTCCAGTAATGATGCGATCTTTGGAGTGGGCTAGTAATGGATCACTAGCCAAGATAAGTGTTGGTAGTCAGCGTATCTATCACGTAAGGAAAGAAGGAATGAGAATCCGCCAATTCTCGCGTGCCGTGAAGACTTAGTCGAATCTAAGTGGGGGAGAAACAATCATGTATGCAGAAGCGAGAGCGGTTTTGAAACTGGGATAAGTTTCGCATCCATGTCAAGAAGAAAGGTGGCCCAAGCGGCTGAATGGAGTGAGGGTAGTGTAAGTTGGAAGTTCGGAAAACTTGCCAACATTGAGATCGCGTTCTCGTGATGGTTGATAGCAGGTCTTAAGAAATCAGGATGGGGATTTCAGTCAGGACATGAGTTCAGCTTGGGATATTAGATTGTGCATGTATGCTCGACTTTGGGTATGCTTGGATTAGTAGTCAACAAAAGACCATGGTCAGCGGTCGAGTTAGCATGGAAAGTGTTGTAAGACTGCGGGATAGTCGTAGCATTCACCAGTGGCTAGATAGCATGAGAAATATGGCAAGACTGCGGGGTGGCTCGTAGCATTAGAAGTGTTGTAAGACTATGGGGTGGCCCGTAACATTCACTAGTTGGCAGATTAAGTAGACACGTTGTAAGACTGTGGGTGGCCCATAGCATTCGTTAGTTATCCATTAGTATATTAGCATAGTAAGACTGCGGGGTGGACCGTAGCACTCGTTAGTTATCCGTTAGTATATTAGTGTAGTAAGACTGTGGGGTGGCCCATAGCATTCATTAGTGATCAGTTAGTATGGGAGCGTCAGACTGCGAGGTGGCCCGTAGCATTCACCGGTCTTTATTCGGCAGTGAGAAGGTATCAGATGCATGATTCACTGGTGGATTTCTTCAGATGGTTTAGACCAGGGCAGGACAGCTCGCACGGATGTGAGAAAGCCACATTATGATTGGATTCAGGAAGCGATAGGTCGTTGGAGACCAGGAGGGATGTAAGACTACAATGGTTTTGGTAGCATTCACCTTTTGTAGTAGATTCGGTGGCAACGGGTAGTCGGACGGTGTGATCAGGAAGGTCGACAGGAATTATGGATCCATGAGTGGCAATGTGGATAGAGTAGTTTTTAATAGCCTAAGTTTCTTCGAAAATCGTTGGGAGCGACTGAGAGGGTGTTCTTTTCAGCAACCGGGTGAGGGTCCGGTATTCCAGATAAGGGAAGATCAGTTGGGACTAGGGTGGTCTCGATTCATCCGGAAAGCGGATAAGGGATAGCAGGATGTTCGGATAGAAGTGGTAATGTGAGGATTCCTGTTTGATGAATAGCTTACCGATCGAAGGTAATAATTCACTTACAGATGGATTGAATAATCTCAAAGTAATGGATTTGACCCTGTTGCACAGCTCTCGTATGAGTCTAACCGTTGTAGGGATGAATCTTCTACTCGAAGGACTATCTGAGCCTTCTGTCAAGTATAATTGTCCTAAAGATGGTTATGCAGGAGCAGTCTATCATGGAGACATACCAGTATGGGATTCAGACTCGGGAGGAGACATAAGTGGTTTGCGGAAGCTCGAAGCTCGTTTTCTTCGGGATGGAAGATCGGTTTGGTTTTCGATTGTCTTGGGAAGATTGTTATACGCGTAGAATCATCGGTTGCGTTCCTCAAATCAATTGTTGAGAGATGGGTGTTAGTAAGAAGGGATTTTGAGGAATAAATCTAATTGATGTGGGGGGGAGTTGTAACACCTGGTTCCAAAAGTGCTTCGCTACTAGGGGCTTGCGGCCCAATTCATCAGTTGTCATGGGGTTAGGGCCTTGAGAAAGGAAGGATTTGGCCCATTTTGGATGCGGGTATTAGGGTATACAAGACCTAAGTGTTTGATTGTGGCTTCGGAGGCCAAGGGCATACTCGCAATTCGACATCTTAGTCCATTAAGGATTTAGGTTCGTGTTCGGGCAGTTTTTAGGTAATGAGGAGTTGTAAGAAGCACAGGGCTTCTCGCCACCTTTTCGTGGATATAAAGTTCATTGGAAACGGACCCCGGATGAGGAAGATATGACACTTTGAAGTTATTGTCAATTTTGGTACCTAATGGAGAAAAGTGGCAAGAAGGTACCATGCATGCAAGGTGGCATGCGCGAGAGTACGCCCAACATAAGCCGGGGTACGCCCAACGTAAAAGGTTGCTTGGACGCGGGTGTTGAAGGCGTACGCCCAATGTACGTTCAAAGTCCCTTATCCCTAACTTTTATGATTAAGCACTATATAAGGAACATTATAACTCAAACCCTATCCTCCCAACCGGCCTCCCTATTTGGCACTCATTTAAGGTAAAAAGCTTCCAACTTGCCTCATGGATGCTTAGATCTATGTTAATGGAGTTTTGGACCTTTTTAGGTCCCAATAATGGGTTTTTAGTGATCAACGTCATTTTTAGGTCTAGGGTTGCCACCTTTAGTGTCATATGAGTCCCATAAGCAGTAAAGTTTCAATCTTTAAGGTCCATTTGTGACCATGCATGAGATCTAGCCATTTTCATGGAAGTTTGTGGCTATATTCCAAGTTTGGGTTCATTTGGTGGGTTGCAAGCCACCAAGTAGTCGAATTTATGGATTAAGACGCTGAAGAGGACTTGGATCTGTGATTATAGTCTCTGGTGTAGAGTATTAAGCGCTTAAAGGGAAAAGAGCTTAACAGAGCAGTACGTTGGTCATACATGCAGGTACGCGCAACGTACAAGCCACACAGCAGGTACGCGCTGCGTACAGCTGAGTACGCCCCGCGTACTCATCAGATGTGGGCTTTACGTCTTTTGGGCCTCGGTTTTGGTCAATCTTTGGACTTATCAGCTGTTGGGCCTTAATGGGTCATCAGAAGTCAGATATTAGACTAAGGACATGTGTGGGCTTAGGGAAGGCCCATTTGAGATGTTGGGCCCAATTTTGAAAATCGGGCCATTAGTGGACTTAGAAAGATTAGATAGAATTGGGCCTTAAATATGGTCCAAATTAGAGCATGGATAAAATGGTCATTTTACCCTAAGAAAGATTATTGGTTTTGGACTAAGTGTTATTTGGTATTGATAGCTCGGGGAGCCGAAGGATTAACAGTTCGGGGAATTGCCAGTTAGCAGCCAGAGGATTAACTGCAAGTCTTCAACAGTGCAATGTGAGTCTCCTCACTATTTGTATGGGTCTAAGGCACCATTACTGGCCCATTTAGTTTATGTATGGTAGGAATACCTGAGGGTTAGCCCTAGGCATTTTGTATGAAAGACCAGGGGGCTTCTCCTGGTACACAATATGCTATTTGTATGGTAGGAAGACTCGGTGGTTAGCCCTAGGCAATATGCATGAAAGACCAGGAGGTGGCTCCTGGCACACTGTATGCTAAGTAGCTAAGTAGAGTTGTATGTATGCTAGTTGACTTTGTGATTACTTGCATGGAAGACCCGGAGGTGGCTCCTACCACTTGTCTGTAAGAGCCAGGGGGTGGCCCCCGACTTGGAAAGAAAGACCACGTGGCGGCCCGTGGCATAACGACAAAATTATGTGCGGCACATAGCAACTTATTTGATATATGATTGATACGTATGGCTCACAGTTATGTATGGCTCAGTTGATATGTATGGTATGTGGTATCTGGGGAACTCAATAAGCTTCGTGCTTACGATTTACAATTTTGATTTCAGGTACCTCCAGTTTTCAGATAAGGAGCTCGGGACGATCGCAGTGCATCCACCCATTTTATTCTGCATTATGTGATCTTTGGGATTTGACTCTGATATTAGTTTAAATTAAAATATTTTCAATGTTTGGAACAAGGTTGTTAAATTGTTTTTAGTAAACCATTTTATAACTTATTAAATCAAAGTTGAAATTTTTGTCTTGGATTTTGGGATGTTACAACCTTAATGGTAACAAAAATAACAATTGGATGCATGTTGCAATCAGTGGGTGTACGAATTTTAGTGTACCAAAATACCAAAAAACAAAGTTTACAAAAGTTGCAACCTATACCATTCCCACTACACCCCATCCCCCTTCTTCCTAACTAACTACTCCAAGTTGATTGTGTTTACAGAAGAAGAACCACCACCATATTTGTCATAGACATCATTCCTTAACTTTATCTTGGTAATCCTCTCAGATGTTTTCCTTATTCTCCTAACCATTGGGATAACCTCATGTCCTTCATCATCACCCTGATTTCCCTCATCATCACTCATTTCATCAACACCACCATCAGGTCCATCACCATCACCTTCAGGTCCATCACCATCATCAACATCTCCAGCACTATGACCTTCTCCATCACTATCACCAACAGCTTCATCACCAACATCATTACCTTCTCCATCACCATCACCATCACCAGCAGCTTCATCTCCAGCACCTTCAACTCCACCATCCAGACCAACGTCATTATCATCAGACTGGTGATCATCAATGAAATCATTTACATCTTAGTGTAAAAAACATAGAATTAGTTCACAACAATGACCAAAAAAATTGTTAATTAATAAAAGATAATAGGTCTTACCAGTTCAACTCGTGGGGAATCATCCAATTCCACTTGTACACCTGCCATAGCTTCTATTTCTGCCATGCTATAACCAGCTTCTAGCATATTATCAATGTCTAAAAGTCCTGATTGTATCTTCTCTGGGAGAATATCCTCCTCTCTGCCCTCAATAAACTCAATTACTTCGTTATCTTCCACCACATTGTCACCCTTAAGTGGAATTGACTTTGTTTTGTTTGTGAAATTAACCCCTTATGTAAAATTGCATCAATACCTTGTTCAATTTCATCATTTGTTGATTTAAGCTTCCAACCAATACTGGATCCTACTTGCCCAAAAGTGTCACTACCTTGCATCACACTTGTTTGACTAGTACCTGCTTCTTGCATCATATGACCATCCTGAATATGAATTACTGGAACTTCCTGCACCACACGTTATTCTACAATAGTAGGAACTTCTACAACTGAAACTTGTTGAACCATACTTTCACCCACATTATAACCTTCTTGCATGACATTTTCAACCTCATCAGTAGTCGGAACTTGTTGAACCACACTCTCTTGAGTACCTATAGTTGGAGTATCGTTCCTATTTTTTGCAGAACCAATCCTCCTACCACCTCTCCTTGTGCACAACTTCTTCCTAGGTACATCAATACTATTTCTCCTAACTCTTTTAGAACCTGACTGTTGCTTGCAAACATATGTTGTTGATGGGGGAATCTGATGTTTTATTGGACTCATCCTCATTGTGTTATGTTTTCTTGGACTCCTCCTCACTGTGTTAGAGCATGAAGGTTGACTTGGGACATTTGGTTGAGCAGGGATTGTAGTATTGTTTTCTCTCATTTAGTGGCTGATTTCGAACAGATACATAGGGGATGGGATGTTTTTTTGGCCTTCCTGTCTTCTTTGGTGGGGGAGGCACATATTGTTTTCTCTCATTCTTACACGCCCTATTGTTATGATCATATTCCAAACAATTGCCACATCTGGTAGTTCTTACAACCTTCACTTTTGTTGTTGAAAACCTGCTCTCCTTCTCACTGGTATGCCTCCTTCTTTTGGTAGCAGGCCTACTAGGCATCCTCCTAGACATTGGAGGCAATGACTTAATGTATTCAGTTTGGGACCAAAGATTTCTGCCATTAACAGGTTCAATGTTTGTTGAGTAACATTGCATAAATTTCTCTTTAGAGAAGTATGCATTGATGTATACATCAGGCGTTTGATGGATAAAATTAATTGCTGCATTTTCATGCACACAAGGGATCCCAGCCAAATCCTACAACCTACATGAACATGTCATATCACCTAAGTCCACCCAATAACTGCCACACCCTACTCTGGCCTTAAATACATGTCCTTGACTATGAATTATTCCCCAAAACCTACAATCAAGTATCTAGTTAGTAACAATAATTAATGATTAAGAAAAGTTTTAGAAAGCATAAAATAGTACCTAATATTTTTCCCAAATCGATTCATTTTTTCAAAATTTTTGAACAAACATCTGAATTCCACTTTTCACTTTCCTCATTCATGTGAGCAAAACTGTCCATGATATAAATCCGTATCTCTTCAAGCATGGTGATAAACGGTTTTTTCCTAGCATCCACTATTATTGAGTTGAAGCACTATGAGATCCTATTCTCATCTACTTCACATGCATATCTTGATCCAAAAAAGGCTTTACACCATGTTTTTGGTTATTTTGACATCATGTATTCATATGCAGAAGGGTTCAAACTCTTGATGCTTTCCATATGCCTCTTGAAGTCACTTTCTATGCAACTCTCAGAGGCAGCCCAAAACAACTTCTTATACTCCAAACCTGTGAAAGTCTTTCTAAAGTTGGCATAAATGTGCCTAACACAATTCTTGTGTTCAACATGAGGCAGTATATCTTTCACATATTCAAGAAGACCCTACAAGACAATGATTTAATTAGTTTAATAGAGGACAAGTATGTAATAAGATAATTATGAAATTAAGTAGATGAGTATGTAAACTTTTACCTTGCGTTGATCTGATATCACAACCAAACCTCTTCCACCATCAAGATATAAATCATCCCTTAGAAGCTCAAGGAACCATGTCCAGTTAGGCTTATTCTCAACATCCACAACAACCCAAGCAATTGGGTAGACCTGATTATTGGCATCTCTACCTATGGCTGTCAATAACTCACCCTTTACCGCTCCCTTCAGAAAGCACTCATCCAAACTAATAACTCTTCTACACCCTCTTTTCCAACCTTCACATATAACTTTGAAACCAATATAAAACCTATGAAAATAGTTTATCCCATTTGGATTGACAGTTACACACACCTTACATGTAGAGCATGGATTGGATCTTAACAACTCTTGTGCATAATCCCATATTCTGGCATAATGCTCAATCATTTTACCTTCAATTAGGTCCTTGGCCCATTTATTTTCCCTACGACATTGGCCTATAGACACGACACACCTAAACCTTTGTATGATGTCAGTAATCATCTCTTTAAGCTTCACCTTAGGTTTATTTGCAATTTCAGTTATGTAGTGTCTACGTATCCATTCAGGAGTAACCATAGAGCCAAATTTGAACTTCCTACCACAAACACGAGTAGCTTTTAAACTCTTGATCTGAATAGATCTTTCATTGAAAATCCATGAGGCATATAGTCTAAAAGGGCAAGCATTATCCTACTTTCTTTTCCCACTTCTTACAAGTATACTGCTACTGTCACACTTCTCAAAGTAGAGTTGCTACCCATTATGGATTGCGTAGTTTTGGAAACAAAAAGTTTAGCTGTGTAACATTCCCAAAAATGTCACTAAGTTTTGGTTCCATTTTGTCTCATCTTGTTTTTGCATCATCTATTATGTACTTGTTTTTCACCTGCTCTTTCTCTTCTTCATATTCATCACTTTGCAAGTCATCACCATGATACACTTGTGGTCTTACATCATCAGCCAAACTAGAGTTTCTAAGATTTTCATCAATTAGTAACACATTAAGAAATATATCCTTACACTTGTCCAATGGAGTAATGAACTCTTCGTCTGGTTCATGATCCATGTAGATGTCATGAAGCTCAAAATCCACCTCATTAAGACTAGAGAAAGGCTCGTGTAAACCAAAAAATGGGTCTGTGTTGCCTTCGTCTTCTGAATCCCAATCCATCAAAACAACCTAAAAAACACACATTATCGTTATTTGTTAACCTCTGAAGAACAAAGAACTGTAATAATACAATCTTCAAAGAAATTACACATACCCTATGAAATCGACTCTCCAGTAACCTAATCTTCTTCTCCAATAACCTAATCTTCTTCAAAAGCGCTAAATTTGCGATGAATGATGTCGATATTCTGAAGGATTCTGAGAAAGTGTACGTTTACGTGCAAAAGGTTGAGGTAAGGTGATGGGTACACTGCTCTTGGTAAACGGACGTAACGTCTGTGCCAACTCCTCAGTTAAGTGCCAGATCAGCACATGGGTAACCAACTACTAAGGGTGCAACCTCTTCAAAGAGATATTTGAAACATTTAGCGAAAGTATCCGACTTTATTACCCTCAAAACTCGTCCAAGGGTAAAACCGACACTTTTTGGAAAACTTAAGGGCTTTTATGACAATTTCCCCTTAGGTCGACATTCATTGTCAATAGCATTCTTAATTTTGGTGGTACGAAAGTTAGGTAAGAGATATGGTTCATTTGTGTTGATTTTTGTTTGTACCATTTGATGAAAGATTTCCTATTTAATGATTGAATATCATTAAACTAGCCATGAAGTAGACAAAACGAAAAATAAATACAATGAACCAATAATCATAATTACGTTTTGCAACCAACTAACTCCATGGACTTTAAGTTTTGAGTTTGCATACACTAACAAAAAAAATGCTATCTGTGGATAAGAAATATGTAGGGTTCGGGATTAGGAGTATTAGTGTGTTTAACCCAAGGTTTTGAAAATCGGACCGGACGTCGAAACGACCGTCTTACCGGTTCGATGGTTCAACTGGTCCGACCGGTTGGACCAGTCCTGAAAACCGAAAAAACCATATATATATATATATATATATATAGAACTAGGTTCAAGTATTTAACTAATTATTGTGTTATCGTATGCTATGAGAATTACTAAGAGAATAAGTTGTTTAGCAATGCGAATACGTTCAACCTTACAAAAATATTGTCATTTTCATGCATTCTCGCTAATTATTATTTATTTTTGTTCTCACACATCAATTTTTACTCACTTTCATTCTGACAGAATACGATCCAATAAACATTCTGACAAACATTCTGACAGAAATGAGAATAATAATAATAAGTGTATAATAACCTTATAGACGATTTAATTAGTGAGAATGTGTGTTAATGACAATAGTTATGTAAGATTGAACGTATTTACATTGCTAAACAACTTATTCTCTTAGTAATTCTCATAACATACGATATCCACACAATAATTAGTTAGAATAGAATAACCTAAACATATATATATATATATATATATATATATATATATATATATGTGTGTGTTGTATATATGTATATTAATTATATATGCAAAGTGTGTGTTTTTTATTTGTATATTAAATATATGAAGTGCAGATATTAAGATATACGTATGTAAAAAAACAAATAGTTTAAATAAGAAAATATATGTAATGTGTGTATGTTGTGTAGAAAATAGTTAGTGTAAAATAAATTTAATATGTGTTGTAAATTGTAAATGAAATAGCAGTGTAAACGATTAAGGAAGTGCATCCCACATCGGTGGGTGAGAAGGAATAGAGGGTAAAGTGAAACTATAAAATTGAGCATTATCAGCGCTTTGAGGAGCAGACTAAAGACTCATTTCAATCGGCTGGCTCCTTGGAGCCGGCTTGCTCCTTTAAGTGGAATATGAGAGCCAAATTTACTCATTAAACCGGTTTTTATTCCTGGTTTAACCAAGTTGGTTTTTTATAGTTCTAAGCAAAACCGGTGGTTTTTAGCGGTTTGGTTCACAAGTGGTTTTTGGGGGTTTTAAAACCGGTAACTTTGCCGGTTCCCGGTTTAATCGGTCTAACCGACCAGTGTGGTTTGGTTTTCAAAACACTGGTTTAACAGGTCTCTCTTGTTTAAGTGGATTTGGCAGTTTCGTAATTACCATTCTTTGATTTGGGTTAGGGTCATTCTTTGATTTGGTGTTAAGATTTTCTATTTCAACAAAAAGTCCGCAACGGAGGTGGTTGGCTTTACTTTTGGGATGATAATTAGGCAATCGTGTTCGGGTTGGCGGGTCAAAATACACCAACCCGAACACGACCCATTTAACTATACAAGTCACGGGTTGGCGGGTTTGGAACATAAACTCATATACGACCCGGTAACCCACTTATTTATACGAGTTCATAGGTTGGAGGGTTCGTGGGCCAAATTTGGGTTTGCGGATCAGATTTCATAAATAAAATAGATAATTAAACATAAATAAATTCTAGATGCAAACGAAAATTAAAAACATTAATGAAAATATGTTCAAACTAAAATATTATTACAAACATAGATAAATTCAAATGCTAATATAATTGCCACATTAATACAAACACTAATCCTACATTCCGGCGAATAATACTTAATACATTTAAAAAATATATAATTTTTTTTTAAAATTCTATATAGGTTGGCGAGCCAACCCGTATGTTTTATGACAAACCCATTATGATGTAAAGGTTGACAGGTTGAAAAACTCAACCCAAACCCGTTTATTTCGTGTAATGTCGCGGGTCGTGTTGAGAATTATATGGCGTAATGATAATTGATTAGGTTTCCAAGAATTTTTGAAATTGGGGAGGATAAGTGTAACATCCCGAAAATCAATGGTAAAATTTTCATTATTTATTATAACCAAAACACAGATGTAACTAGATCCAAACATTTAAAAGCATTTAAAAATAAAAACAATTATCAGAGTTCAATCCCAAAAATCACATATTGCGGAAAACACGGGTGTATGCGTTGCGATCAAACCGGACCCTTCCTTTTCGAACCGAAAGTACCTGAAACCATAAACCACAAAGCTTAGTGAGTTCCCCAAATATCACATACCATACATAACAATCGAGCAATATATAACATTCATATCAACGAGCCATACATATCATACATATACCATAATCAATAAAAGTGCTATGTGCCATCCATAGTCTTGCCATTATGCCACAAGCCGCCTTGTGGTCTTCCTTTCCAGGTCGGGGGCCAAAACCCTGGGTCTTACAAACAAGTGCCAGGAGCCACCTCCTGGTCTTCCATGCAAGCATCACAAAGACAACTAGCATACAATCTACTATTACTAACTATTAACTGCCAGAGTTCAAACTTTGGTATTGCATACAGTTTTCCAGGAGAGGCGAGCCGCCTCCTGGTCTTCCATACAAGATTCCAAGGGTTATCCCCCGGGTCTTCCTATAATACATAAACCAAATGGACTGGCATTAGTGCCTTCGACCCATAGAACAGTGAGGAGACTCACCTCGAATGCTGAAGCTCACTGCAAAAAATCTCTAGCTGCTGCCCTGATGACACCCCGAGCTATCAATCCAAAATAACACCCAATTAGCAATTAGGTTCCAACTATAATCCATAATCCACATTTAGGGTAAAATGACCATTTTACCCATGACCCAACATGAACCAAAACTAAGACCCAAGCCTAAGACCAAAATGGCCCAAAGCCGAAAGATCCACAAAGGCCTACTAATGGCCTAATTTTCCAAATTGGGTCCAACCCCCATATGGGCATTATCCTAAGCCCAATAATTCCCTTAGACCAATAATTAATCTCAGATGACCCAAAAGGCCCACAGTAACAAGTTGGCCCAATAATACCAAGCCCAAAGCGCAACAAGCCCAAAACCCATATGACGACGAACGCGGGGCGTACGCTCAGCTACACTGGGCGTACTCGACGGATCCCGGATCGTGATCTCAGCCTGGTACGTTGGGAGTACTATGAGTTACGTTGGGCGTAACTGGGATTTTTCCAAAACACAAAATACAACTTAATCCTTTAAGTCGTTGCATCAAAACTTCAGAGGACCTTCAATCTAAGCTCTTAATGCATAAAGTCGGCACCTTTATGCATTTTCATGACTCAATGGGACCCAACAACCATCTTAATCCGTTAAGACCCATCATAAACCAACTAGAACATGCATGGACCCATCCTAAACACCAAGCAAGCATTATTATGAACTAGAAACATCAGAAGAGGCAATATCTATCACTCCCAACTCCTAGAGCGTTTTAAACTCATAAGGAGAACTTAATACACCATAAAACCCTTAATCTTGCCCTAAACTCAATCTAGCATAATAAGAAGTCAAGATAAGAACCTTTTACCTTGAATGAGCAGGAAATGAAGCCAAAAGTCTGGATCTAAAAGTCTTCCTTTGAACCACAAGCTAGCACCAAACACCATTCTCTTGAAAATGAGCAAAAACCCACCAAAATGCACACTTAGATCTCTCAACACTCAAAATGAGATTAGGGTTTCCGAAATGAGACTAGGAGGCAATGGAGGCTGAGAAATGAAAGAGCCTTGAGCTCATAAATATGTTTAAATAGTGCTCAAACCCTCAAAACTAGGGTTTGGCACTCTGCTCGTTACGTTGGGCGTACTCACCCATGCACGTGCCATAAGCCATGCACGCATGGGACTGAAATGCAAGCCTTTTCCATTAAGGGCCATTTATGCCAAAATCTTCAAATTATCATAACTTCCTCATCTTAGGTTTGTTTTCAACGAACCTTATATCCACGGAAAGGTGGCGAGAAACCCTACGCTTCTAACAACACACCCGAGCCTTAAAATTTCCCGAACAAGAACCAAAATCCATAAAAGACCGAATTATCAAATTACGATTATACCCTTTGCCTCCAAAGACACCATCGAACACTTGGATCACTCAAACCATGATACCCACATCTGAAAAGGGCCAAATCTTCTCTTTCCCATGACCCTAAGCCTCATGACCACAAATGATTGGGCCGTAGCCCGGAATAATGAAGCAAATCCGAAACCGAGTGTTACAATAAGAAAAGAGTAAATTATAGTTTTGGCCCTATGGTTTAGTCAGATTCGTACATTTAGTCCAACTTTTGAAAGTTTGACAAGATACATCCCTATG